GAAAAATTTTCGTGGTATTATTGGCTCTCTTCTATACCTAACAGCAAGCAGACCTGACATCTCGTTTGCTGTTGGTGTATGCGCTCGCTTTTAGGCTAAACCGAAAGAAAGTCACCTAAGTGCAACTAAAAAGATATTACGATATCTTAAGGGCACACAAAGTGTCGGTCTCTGGTATCCGAAAGAAGGATCATTTGATCTAATCGGATACTCAGATGCAGACTTCGCAGGTTGTCGAATTGATCGAAAAAGTACCTCAGGAACATGTCAGTTCCTAGGAGGAAGAATTGTGTCTTGGTTTAGCAAGAAACAACATTCCATTGCTACTAGTACGGCTGAGGCCGAATACATAGCAGCTGGAAGTTGTTGTGCTCAAATCTTATGGATGAGACATCAATTAAGAGACTATGGGATAAATGCCCAAGAAGTGAGCATTAAGTGCGATAATACAAGTGCTATAGCAATCACACACAATCCGGTTCTACACTCTCGGACCAAGCACATTGATATCAAGTATCATTTTATTCGTGATCATGTTGAGAAGAAAGATATTTCTCTCGAATATGTCAATACTGATGATCAACTGGCAGATATACTCACTAAACCTCTGAGTGAGACAAGATTCTCTCTATTAAGGCATGAGATCGGAATGATTGAAATGACCTAAAATTCAGAGAATCAAATCTGTAAAGATTCGTATCCTTGATTCTCGCAAGATTTGATCCACCCTTACACGCAAGTATCCTTATAAATAAGGTATACTAATTGTTTGTGCATACATCACTAACAAAAGTTCTAGTGTTTGTTCTTGCAGGTATGAGTACAGGTAGTGAAAGAACCAACACTGAGAATCAAGGTGGAAAAAGTGGAAAAAGTGAGATCTTTAATGACAAACTCATCACCCAGGAGGAAGTGAACAAGTTCATGGAACGCTCTCAACATATTCAGAGTCTTCTTCGGGCTCCAACAGACAAAGAGTCAAAAGAGCTGTTTCCTTCTGCAGGCAATTCTATTGGATATGCCAAAGAAAACAGTGTGCTGGACAAAAGCGACAGTTTCGACTATTCACCGTCCAGCACCCCTCCTAAGATGCCCTCACCACTCAAATCCACCGCCAGCAGCAAGAAAAGGAAGATCTAAATAACTTTGTCCTTTTCTTAATATGTGATGTTATTCCACCATGCTTTATAATGAATCACCTTATCCTTTCGTGTCTCTTTGTTTTCGTGTCTCTCACGCAAGAAAGTGTCAGTATCCAAAACATTTTGTATAGATCTCCACGACACTTATTTGCCTATAAAATAGTTTCGCCATGCATAAGACACACTCACTTCTTTCTAAGAAAAAGGATTGCAGGTATGAACAAAGGGAAAGGAAAAATGGACGAAGCAGAAAAAAGGGCTACTCGTCTGAAGCATCACTTACAGGAAGCAAGCAAGCTCCCTAATGCCACCATCATAAGCTTGAAAGAAGAAGGAGAGATGATCAACGTAACCTACTCAATGCCTAACACCTACTCTAAAAAGGAAAAAGAGGTTCTTGACACTCTTGTCGACGAATCTAGGGCCAAAAAGGAGTATCATCTGGAACAAGCCAGACGGCTTGCCCATGAGAGAATCATGATGCTGAAGAGATCCAACAAGGACTCTTCGTCGACACCAACCTTTCGATGGTATCCCATTCTTGAAGTTCCTCCACCCAATGTTCAATCCTATGAGGATTTCTCAAGGGTCCACTCTCGGTTCACAGATCAGCCACCCGAACCCACTCTCTCTCTAGAAGAGTTGGATGAATACGCCAAAACAACAAATCTGGCTGATGTGACTGATGAGATGACCCGAATGGAACTTCACGTGCCCTATCGTTTCCTTTGAACCGTAGTAGGTTGAGCTTTTTATGTTTAAGTCTCTCTCTCTTTCTATCCTGTATGTCATGATGGTTGTGTTATCCAAATAAATGCATTGCATACGTTTTTTTATGATTTCGGATTACAGGAAGGATTACTATTGAGTGCATTTAGTACAAGTTATATCTGGTCAAAAAGAGTACAAAAATTCATTATGAATTTATTGAATGCTAAGCTCGTTGGAACTCAAGCCTTACAGATAATCAAAATTTTACTCTCAACTGAAATCAGCATTCTCTTGACCACATTAATGAGCATTGATTGCTATGTTGATAAACTTTCTGATAAGCCCTTCAATCCTTGGCTATAAAAAGGGAGAGAATTTCTCACAACTCTCACTATCTCCTCTCTCTCTCAATGGCACCTAAGAAAAGGTTCACAAGAAATGACTCTCGCAAGCTCCAAGAGGCCGCTAGGCGCCTCAGGGAGGAGCAAGGTGACTTATACCCAGGCAATAGTCCTAATGTTCCTATCAATCTCGTCTCTGATTCAGACTCATCGTTTCAATACGATGATATGGCTGGATTCATCGTTGAATCAGAGAATGAAGAAAAGATCTCAAAAGATCCAAGTGAGACAATCCCAAAAGAATGGATTGACAAGGACTACATGGCCTTTCTGGCACAAGAAAATCTGGAAGAGAAGTATGGCAAAGATGATGAAGCTGAGTCCTCTACTGGTTCCAACTTTCCGCGCTATAAAAGATGGTATAGGGAAATGTTTGGAAGGATGAAGAAAGATAAGCCTGAATGCTCTTCATCCAAGAAGGTTGAGAGGAAGAAAAAGTGATTTTCTGAAAATCATCATCTATGTTTTTGTATCTTCTCTTCTCGATTGTTGAATAAAACCTTGCCTATCTATGTGCTAATAAGATGTCATGTTTTATCTGTGTAACCTTGTTGACAGCCTTAAAAGTTTGTTCTGACCGAAACTTACTCGTTTTTTTTTCTCAAAAATCCCAAGAAATAATTTCGTTCAAGGATTTGACCACCTTGAACAAAATAGTGAGAAAAATATTTCCTAAAGGAGATATCATGAAATGATCTCATGATTCATCTAAACGAATCTTGAAGACTGATCGGTTACCAATCTTTCGGGTGACAATGTTGATTGTTTATCATGAATCTCTCGGGCAACATTATGTGCGTCTTATGAAATTCTGAACAACATTCGGGTTTTTGAATCGTACTTAAGACGCTATTCCTTTTTGAATCTAAACCGTTCATAAAGTGTTATTGGGATCATACGGCCGAGAAAATCGCCACTATCCCACTAGTCTGACAGGACAAAGACGTGTATTTAATGCACCTCTCAGCACTTGAGTGCTTTTCTCTCTCCTCATTAAATGAGGGAATGATCGTTTCAGATCTGCACACGTTCTTATGACATATCCATGATGATCAGTTACCTCTTGAGGAAGAGGAACCGCTGAGTTCTTTTTCGAAATTCGAATAAGTTTTCTTAATGGGCTGATTTAAGGACACCAACCCGGAGCTTTATAAACCCTGCTCAAACCTTCATTCCGTCTGTTCTACAACTCTCAAAATACATCTCTTCCTCTCAAAGCTCTCTATAGTCAAGCTCTCTATCATCAATGGCGGCTCCTTCCGAAAAGAACCTAGAGAACCCTGAACCCTCATCCACTCCAGTAATACCAAGTTTTCCCACGGAAGATATAGAGTTTATCAAGTCCAGAATTCCATTTATAGTAGGAGGAAGCATGTGGGACGAAGAAGGGTTTCGTAAGTATGTCTTGGATAAAGCCTTTGGAGAACGAATAATCGCTCTTTGGTTAGAAACAGGTTTATATGGTTTGATAACTCACCCCTATGATGAATGGTACCCTCTTGATGTTACTCAGTTTTATTTGAATGCGTATGTGGCTTCTGATTTCTCGAGCATAACTTCAAGAGTTAATAAACATCACTTTGTGTTTACTGCTGAGGATATTCGATCAACTTTTGGGTTTCCCAGACGAGATGAGTCCTACAAATCCAACCTGATATATTATCATCTAGATCCGGAGGATTTCTATGAATCCATACGACACAAGGAGGCCCCTTCCAAAGATGAAATTTCCTGGCCCCTCAAGAAAAAATGGTTCCGGTTGGATCATGAGTTTGCAGTAGACATCTTCAACAAGATTGTGGACCACAAGACTTCTGGCACAGATGATGTCACAAGGGAAAAGCTGAAAATGCTGCACGCCTTCCTTCATGAGCATAAGGTTGATTGGTCCAAAATAGTATTCAACAACATCGCCCACACCATCACATACCATCGCAGGAGTCCTGGTGACATTACAAAGAAGATGGGCTTCGGTTTCATTATAAGCCATCTTCTTGCCACAAAAGGTGTGATTCTACGTGCTGGTGCTCCACCTAGTCAAAAGGTCTGTCACATGAAGCAAAAACCATCTGGATATGATAAACAGAAGGCGTTGGAATTGGGCATTCCTCTTGAACCCAATCTACCCAAAGGGAAGTCCAAACGAAAGTTAAAAACCCCCAAAGCAGACGAAGAAGCTCAACCAAAACCAAAACGGCAGAAACAAGAAAAACCCTCTTCTCGGGTTAAGACTCAAAAGACGGTCATCTCCCAACCAAAGACGAAAGGTGATCCTCCTCTCGAAACTTTGATCGTGCAGAACTCCTCTGAAGATGATGATGATCAACCTCTCACTCGTCTAAGCAAACGAAGTCGAATGAGACCTGCTCAAAACCGGGAACCCTTATCAAAAGGAGCAATATCACAGGGGGAAGACATCCCGAAAGTAGCTACCTCTGAGGGGGAACTGAAAACTTCTCTGCCCGAAAGAAGTCCCGTTGCTCACAAATCCATCAATCCGAATGCATCTCCTGTTCCTCATCCACAAGAACCTACCTTAGCAGAGCAACTCCTACGAGAGTTGACACAAGAACCTGCTACTGTAGAAATGAAGGAAAGATGTCAAAATCTTCCACAAGAGCCGGGCTCTCCAGAAGACATCCCGAAAGCAGCCTCTGATGCTCCAAATGATGCTCAATCTCTTCCACAAGAACCTACTATTGCAGAGCAGGTAATTCTGACACAAGAACCTGCACTAGTAGACGAGATGACAGCTGCTCAAACATCATTTGTCCCGAAACCATCTGCTCGTCAATCTTCTCCAGACCGGTACACCCTCGATAAATCTCTCAGAGAATCGATTGAAAGAGATTACAATCGAGTTCTACAATGGCACAAGTGGCGCACGGCACCTCTCAGAACCTTTCTCGAAACTTTTGAAGCCATGATCGACGAAGAAGAATTCTCACTTCAATGGCTTGAAACTCAGGACGTCACAAAGGCTGTGCGAATTGAGGAGATCCACCGAGTGTACTCTTATAGAATAACTCATCGATCTCTCGGGAAGGACAAAGCTCCCTTGGTAGTTCCTCTTCATAAACCTCCCATGGATCCAGTGACTGAAGCCGAATTGAAACAACTTCGCTACATCATGCTGCTATCCAAAATTAAAGCCAAAATGGCAGAAGATCATCCTAGAGATCCCAAAGGCAGTGCTAGTGGAACGAAAGATGTTCATGGCAACGAAATCGAAGAAGAGGATGAAGAAGAAAATGAAAACGAGAACAATGATGATGAAACAGAAGACGACAACAGTGGTACTGATGATACTGATGATGATGATAATGATGATAACAATAATCAACAAGGAGGAGAAGGTGCTGAAGAAGAAGAACCAGAAGATAGCCACACTATCTTGGTCGAAACGGACTATGCTAACTGTCCACAAAGACCACCTCTCTTGAAAATACCATCTGAAGACGAAGACTCGGATGAAGCATCCAGTAAAAATCCAGTTCACTCGTCTCGTGCTATCATTCCGCATCTGAACGAATCTGTACAACAACAACATAATCTTCCAGCTCATGAGGACAGAAAGGAAGCCTCACCTGAACATGGCCACTCGATGCATGGTGAAAATCCGGAAGCACCACATCCTGATGAACACAGGAACTCTTCTCCAACACACATTGAGGACGATTCTATCGCTGAGTCCCCACGGACCATTATGAACCTCATGCGAGAAACTGTTCATTCAGCTGAACTGATTCACAAGCAATATCTCGCCCTAAGGGAGAAGGACACGAGAGTATTGAATGACCTGTGTCAAAAAGTCAATCTACTCCTTGATGTACAATCTCAACCACAGCAACCGAATCTTCCTCACGACAAAACTCTTAAGCAATTGGTGAAAAGAGTTTCTGATCTTGAAGAGAGTTCAAACAAAGTCGCTAGGCAGCAACACGAGATTAAGCATTCTCATTACGGCCTCAAGGAACGTGTTGACCTAGCTTGTACCAAGATTGACACTTATCAAGATAATTCCTATCAACTTGGTGAATATGCTCTTCAAATTCTGGGATATGCTCAAGACATCCTGCTTGCAATCAGCCAAATCCCCTCTGTACCCCCTACTGCCTGCGCTGATGATGCCAAAAAGGGGGAAAATAGGAATGATGACAGAGATAAGGATGATGACAAGGGATAACACGAAAGAAAGATCTTCGGAAAAGCGAGTCTCTCCTCACAAAGTCTCGGGTCACAAAAATCCCTCTCATCCACCTCCTAAGTCTCGTGGACAGTCCCATGATCAAAGACGCCATGGACGCACTCAAGACAGCGAGGCTCGACAATCTTTCGGCTCTGAAGCCAAATATTTGATAACACGAAAGAAAGATCTTCGGAAAAGCGAGTCTCTCCTCACAAAGTCTCGGGTCACAAAAATCCCTCTCATCCACCTCCTAAGTCTCGTGGACAGTCCCATGATCAAAGACGCCATGGACGCACTCAAGACAGCGAGGCTCGACAATCTTTCGGCTCTGAAGCCAAATATTTCTTCACAGGACTGTCAAGAAGAGATCAAGTAAAACTAAGACAAAGGCTCATGAAAAATACCTCAGTCACCATGGATGGCATTGGAAACTTCGTGGACTATGTCCCATACGAAGAAGGAAGCGGTAAGAGATTTGAAGGTTGCAACAATCCCATATGGTTGAAGAAGAAAGACAACCACACAAGGCAAAACTACATGAGCACTCAGAACGAAAGGATTAAAAGACAAAACAAGGAGTTGTGGGAAAAACACGATGAAGAGATCAGGAGAAGAGATGATGAAGCTAGAGAAAGAGAAAAGATTAAGAATCTCATCGAAGATCTATCAAATGTAACCAAAGACTCTCCTCAAAATGTCATGCACAATGCAGCTTTCAAAGTGCATAAAGAATCAGGCAAGAGCTATCAAGAAGGAATGAATTCGTTTGAACTGATCTCCTGGTGGAAGTCTGGAATAGTGGAAGGCAACAACATTCGAGAAGCCTACAACAATTACACGAGTCTAAACATCAAAGGAGGATATGAAGAGCTCGTCAGAAACAATCCAATCAGGACTTTCAGAGCAAGAATCAACGAGAAGATAGACTACGAGAGAACACAAAGAAGACAGAAAGAGAAGGACAATCAAGAAAGAAAGAAGGAAGCTCAGCAAAGGTTGAATCTTTTAGAAATGTAAGTTATCCTTTGTTTTGATTTCTTTTGACAGAGTTTTTGTAATGATTTTATCTGAATATCTATGAAACTCTCATTGTCACACATCTCGTGTCACTTGTCTGAGTTAAAAAGTCCTTGTCTTTATTCCTGCTGCTTCTTCGTAGAAAATACTTGTAAACTCTCGATAATGGCTGTGTTATTAATAGAAATATCCTTAAGGAGCACTTTCTCAGCCTTATAAGAAGAGTATAGGTTTTGGCATCATCAAAAAGGGGGAAATTGTTAGGAACCTTGTATTAGGATTTTGATGATACCAATGTAATGTAGAAAGTAGACCCCTAACTCTTACGTTTCTCTTGTATCGCTACTTTCGTTCTAGACGAAAGTTGCCATAACTCATATGTAATTCGTGTTAAGCTAGAACAAACACACGAAAAGAGTTATGAATAGAAGATAGGCTGATCAAGACGAAAGAAGACTCCACAGCAACGAAAGAAGGAGTTGTCATTAAGAAGACAGTTCTTTTCAAGACTATCCCAACAAGTATTCTTCTTCTCATCAACAAGAAGAATGTTCTACCTGTCTGATTTGACAACATCCTAGGACAATAAGGACCTCAACTCATGGGACACGCTCTCCAAAGAGCATTTAATGAAGCTGTACTATCTCTGGAGCTAAAAGACAAAAGCCATCAAGTCCTCCATACCTTCAAACGGCTACATAGTACAAACCCATTAATGGAGCATTAAATGCATGAGGCTCCATGGTCCTTGTCCAACGGATAAAAGGTTCGAAAAATTCATCTCCCTCCAACGGATGAATTTTCATCACCTATATAAACCAACCTTCATCAACTAAGAAGGTGCTGGTTCATTATCACTCTACTCACTCTCTTGCAAAAAGTCCTTGAAAAGTTAACAATCTCAAAGCTTTTTGCGAACCAGTTACTTAAGGTGTTAAGGCATTTGAAGTAGATCATCCATCACTGCCCTACATCTTGAAAGAAGTCTTGCACTCTTGAAGCAATCATCCCACACCATCAAGACTTCACAGTTGGAGGAATCAAGAAATACTTTCTTACCAATCTCAACTTAGAAGAAGAAGTTGATAGAGGCGGAGTAAACTCTCGGAGTTGAAAAACCTTCAAAGGCTGTCCGGCTTAGTGATCAAGGAAGTCTTTGTGTAATTGTACTAAAGAGTGATAGTGCAATCCTTCCAGCAGTTGTGGAAGAAGAGTGGAAGTAGGCAACGTTTGGCCGAACCACTATAAAATCTCGTCTCACTCTTCTCTCTACTTACTGCTTTACTTTACTGCTTGCATATCATCTTTTTCATCTCTCCTCTTAACATTTTATCAAACTCGTGCAACCCTCACTTTATAATCTTTCCGCTGTGCTTATCTTACTCAAAAGTGTTGTCAGGGTTTTTCTTTTAAAAACTAAAGAAAAACGAGAGTCTATTCACCCCCCCCCCCCCCTCTAGACTCACCACACAATCTATCGGGACCAACATCATCATCATCATCATCATCATCATCATCATCATCATCATCATCATGGTACATTCGGTTGCACGGCATAACTATTGTAGCTAAGAGAGTGGAGTTGGAGGAAGTGGGCAATTTATATCCTGCACCAGGGCGCACATTGTATTGTGCGTCCTGGTGCAAAACGACGTCGTTTCATTTTTTTATTTTTTATTTTTTTTGAAATTTCGCTACCCTGTGTTGGCGGTTAATTTTCTTTTAAAAAAAAATCATGTTAAAAAATGTACATAATTTTATACTAGAATACACATAATTGTATACATGAATGTACATAATTGTATAATAAAATACACATATTTAAAAAAAAAAAAAAAGATAATACATATAATCTAAAATAATACATAATATACATAAACTTTTAACATAATAAACATCAACTCTTAACAAAATACACATAAATTTCCTGTTTCGGATGTACATAATTGTATAAAAAAAATATGTACATGATTGTATAAAAAAATGTACATAATTGTATTAAAAAAATACACATAATTGTATAAACAAATACACATAATCACGTCAACTCCCTACATAACTTACCAAAACGACATCGTTTTGGAAGGCGCGGGGCGTACAGTGCTATGCGCGCCGTGGTGCAGGGTATAACGATTGGAGGAAGTGTCCATGGCTCCATGCAGGCCTCGACCCATTGGCAGGGGCAACGATGGGGGAGGGGGCGGTACAATAAGGCAAATTATATCGTGTACCAGGGTGCACAATGTATTGTGCGCTCTGGTCCAAAACGACGTCGTTTTGTATCTGTTTTCTGTTTCTGCTGTTAACTTCTAAAAAAAATCATATGTTTTATATGTACAAAATTGTATAGTAGAATACACATAAACTCCTAACATAATATATATTACACAAACTCTTAACAGAATAAACATAAACACGAGTGTTAAAAAAAAAAAAGGACTAACTATAACTGGATTGTTTAATGATACTTATAAAAACGACGACGTTTTGGACCAACTCACACAATGTATTGTGCGCCTTGGTGCACGATATAATGATTGGTACAATAATGGGGTAGGGAGAGGCGATTGGACGTGGGTGGCTAGCATTGGGACACTTGGCGCAATTCTGACCATTCATGTGGTTGGGCAAAGGCTGGCAATTTATATCCTACACCACGGCGCGCGTTGCACTATGCGCCCAGATGCAAAACGACGTCGTTTTAATTTATTTTTTTTTGAAATTTCTCGCCCCAGTGAATGGCAGTAGCTTTCCTTTAAAAAAAAAATCCGCTGTTCAAGAATGTACATAATGTTATACTAGAATACACATAATTGTATACATGAATGTACATAATTATATAACAAAATATACATACTCTTTTTAAAAGATAATGCACATAATCTAACATAATACATAATAAACATAAACTTTTAACATAATACACATCAACTCTTAACATAATACACACAAATTTTCTGATTCGGATGTACATAATTGTATAAAAAGAATGTACATAATTGTATAAAAAATGTACATAACTGTATGAACCAATACACATAACTGTATGAACAAATACACATAACTTTGTGAACAAATACACATAATCCCAGCAACTACCTACCGCGCCTCCCAAAACGACATCGTTTTGGGAGGCGCGCGGCGCACAGTGCTATGTGTGCCGTGGTGTAGGATATAACGATTGGCAAAGGCTCTCGAGCTACATGGATCACTCATTTGACACTAAAAATAAGAAGTGGAGCTTTGTACTAGGACGCGTCATTTGAGGGAGCGTTATGCCATGGAACCGTGTTCACCATTCATGGTGAACACTATTCCAACGTTGTTAGTACACCGTTATCTTTTCTTTTTTTTTTCTTAATTAATTGCGTGACTTTTCTTCTTCATTTTCACATTTTGCGGTTTCACTTTAATTTGAGTTGAACAATAATTTCGGACATTCATAAATTATGAATTCATGCCTGCACATTCACTTTGGAACCATGTCTACACATTCCCGTCCGAAATCACGGACATTCATAAATTATGAATCCATGCCTGCACATTCACTTTGGAACCATGCCTACACATTCACTTTGGAACCATGAGATTATGAATTTTATGTTATAAGATTATGAATTTTCAGTTATGAGATTATGAATTTTCAGTTATGAGATTATGAATTTTCTGTTATGCGATTATGAATTTTCTGTTATGCGATTATGAATTTTCTGTTATGCGATTATGAATTTTATGAAAATTCATAATCTCATAACAGAAAATTCATCGTTAACTCTACATCTGCGATTTTTTTTTTTTTGCCTAAAAACGACGTCGTTTGGCCTTGTGTTCACCGTTCACGGTGAACACGTTTCCAGAGCATAATTTGCCTCTTTTGAGTCTTGTCTGTTGTGTTAGTGGATCGGACCCTTGTTGGGCCTTAGCATCTTTATTTATTTGTAAGCATCCCATATTTTGAATATTTTAAGGGCCCAATGTTC